TTTATCAGAAAATATATACAGATGGCAAATTTGCACCTAATAATGCACCTTGGCATTATTGGTCGTTAGGGAAATTAAAACTAACAACATGATTAGCGTTTACTATGTATACATTAGAATGGCAACTGTTAAATAACAGTGCCAGTATCAAGTGATAACAGTGACAATATCAAGTGTTGGCAAGGATAAGGAGCAACTGAAACTCTGGCACCTTGTTGTTGGGAATATAAAATGGTACAGCCACTCCAGGAAAAAAAGTTGAACAGTTTCTATAGCATTGACTACACACCTAGCATGTGACTCAGCAGTCCTTCTTGGTGTTTAGAGAATTAAAAATGCATGTTCACACAGAAAAACTTGTTCATCGGAGTTTATAGCAGTTTGTTTGTAATCACCAAAATTGAGACAGACCAGATGTTCAGAATCATTGAAGGATAAACAAAGTATTATAGCCATCCAGACTTTGAAATACTCCTTAGCAGTAAAAAGCAACAAAACTGTTGATACATGTTATGCCCAGTGCAAGAAGCTGTTGCAAAAGGTTTCATACAGCATGATTCAATACAGCAGGAGCAAAGCAGTTGTGGGAAGTTGGTGGGGGCTGAGAGAGAGAGTGATGATTAAGAAATAATATGAGGGGCTTTAGCCAGTGAAAGACTGGTCTGTGTCTGATGATTATGGTCATAGTGGATATATGAATCTGTCTTCACATTCTATCACGGAAATGTACCAGGCATGGTGGTGCATGCCTGTAATCACAACACCTGGGAGGCTGAAGCAGGGGGATTGTGACTTCGAGAGCCTGGGCTACATAGTGAGACACCTTCCTCAAAAAATTCTGTTAATCTTAAATAAATAATGTAACAAACATATTTTTTGAGAAACAGTTCATGGAACTGTATACCAAAACTGACATGTTACTGTAAGTTAATTTTTTTAATAAAATAAAAATAACAGCATAAAAACATTATGATATGTAACACTTTTTATGAATATTAACTATATTCTCAAAACCAAAATCATTAATGAAAACAGTGGCATACTTGCATAGTTTTTGCACATTTCTTTACAGTCTAACTTAATAGAGAGTTGGAGTCTCATATCTGCTTCTGCATTTGCTCTGTTGTGATATCACATTATAGTCTCTGGAAAACCCCTCTATACACTTGAAAGAGAATGACAATGAAAAAATAAAAGCCAGTAACATATTAGTAAGATTGTCATCACTGTTTGAACTCGTGGACCACTTGAAGTGGCCTCAGGAATTTCCCAGGGTTCCTGAACTGTACTTTGAGAATCACTGATACAATGCATTACCCAATTTTCAGTCACTGTCATAGTAACTTGACCATTTTTTGTTCCACAGCCACGTTTTCTGTGTTTACTTATGACTTTGTCCAACTGATTCATTTATAAATTTTTTTCTGTATCTCTTGAAAATACAAAAGTAGTACCATTTTCCCATAAACAGAATGACCACATAAATAAACATAAATAAGCAACAAGAAAGTTAAGATACATACACACACAACACACACACACACACACACACACTATAATTTGCCTGTGAACAATCTAAACTAATCTCTTCATGACACACTTTGGAAAACAACAATGTAGAAAAGTAATGACAGATAGCTAACTCTGATACATTACTTCATTTGTGTTAACCTGTTGAATCCTGGCAATTATTATAAGAGGTAGTTCATATCATTATCCTCTTTTGTTTTTCTTTTTACAAACATAAAATAAGTTGAAGCACGAGGATGCTGCCCAGTGGTTCTGTGGGATACAAATTCCAGTGCTGGGATTTGAACCCTGCACTCTGGCTGCAGAGTTCTAAGATACTGGGTTAGCAGATAGAAAACCTGGATTCTCATCAAACTTCTGCCATAAGTACCCCTATGACATGTCACTGAATCTCAATGCCCTTGTCAATAACACAAGAGAGGTGCTATAAATTGAAACATCTGGTGCCTATGCAGGGGCCAAGGCTGGTCACAGAAAAGTGGACTGAATATAGTGTAGTAGAGAGTGGTGGGGAGTTCACATTTTGTCTAAAAAAAGCTTCTGCTACTCAGTTTCAAGTGGTTTTTGTTGTTGGTTTTGGTTGTTCCTCTTTTTCTTTTTCTTTTATAAGAGAAGATTGAAGTCTGGTTATTTTTGTATAAAATTTCCAATTTTTACAACACTCAGAGGGGCAAGCCATCACATGGCTGGTTTGTGACTTCTTGACTAGATTATCTCCTCTGAGTTAGAGGGTTTATGACTAAATGAACAATTTTTGTACAGTGGTAGAAACAAAATCCAAATTACAGAAATACTGTAAAACAATGATGAAAGGGGATAAGGACTTAGTGTCTTAACATAGCCTACATAAATATTGATCAAAAGCTGGGTTAATTGAAAAGTCAAGGTACATTAATAGAATAACAAAGTGTATTTCTTTGTGTTCCTTTTGTGCTGTATTAAAGTAAATCAGCAATATTTATCCAGTGCTAATTCTCCGTTTGCCAAGACCCAATGTAATCTTATTGAAATTCTTTTCTTAGACATACAGACTTGCCCAAGAATGCTATGTATTAGGAATTTTGGTCAGCACTTGCTCAGAATAGTAAATACAAACATGATTTATGCCATTGTGTGTACAAAGTAATGTTTCCTGAGACATTTTCTATATATATGTTGGCTATTTTTTGGGGGGAGGGGTGGTTTGGTTTGTTGTTTCCCCTTCTTCTGCTTATCAGATTTCCTTTTAAATCCTGGTGTTTGACAATGTTCCAGGACCAATTTCTCTCCAAATCCACAGCAAAATGTATTGGTGGTTTCACAATTAATCCCAACTCACATTTTTGGTTTACATGTTTAAATGAGTTCTTGCATTTGTTTCTCTCTCTCTCTCTCTCTCTCTCTCTCTCTCTCTCCTGTGGTGTGTGTGTGTGTGTGTGTGTGTGTGTGTGTGTGTTTCAGAGAGAAGAGAAGCAAGGACAAAATCTATAGACTGAATCTTGAACGATGAGTTTATTCATCAATTACATCAGAAGGATTGTATTTTCTCTTGGTTAATAAACTATTTGTTTGGCAGATGTTGTAAGCCAGCCAGAGCTAGTCATACCATTTCTTGGAAAAGATCTGAAGCAACTGGTAATTGAAATGATAATCATTTGATCATACAGCTATTTGAAAATAACACTCATCTCCAAACTTGTCTATTCTAGGAAACTTTATTTGGTCAAAATGTTGCCAAATTCCATCTTTACTAACGTTGAGACCCATATACCATGTTACTTTATTATTTTCTAGTATATTCTAAACTGGATTTCTGGTATGCCCTGTCCAGAAGCTGCTCCCATATGCTTTGAAACAATACCCAGCCTGAATTTTTATTCTGACATTTAATAATCACCATGTAATAGCTATAAAATGCATGACAACTACAGATCTTTTATTTCAAGAGGATGGTGTGGTGAGTCTGGGTGAAATCATCCCTTGAAATGGTACTTTGTAATATGCCCCATTGTTTATAAAGTGTTGAAATTTTTTCTTGAGCAGAGGATGAAAACACATTTTCCACTGTGTTTCTCCTTTACTGGAAGATCATACTTGATCATGATAAGGATTCCATTACCAAAGTTTTAATTTTCATTTTTGATAGAGTATTTGTTATGTTGCTGCTACCTAACAAATTTTCTTCTTAGAAGCAGCTTGGAACTGGCTGAGGAAAGCTGAAATTTTAGATCCTACCTTAAAAACAAAACAAAACAAAACTAAGTCCAGGGCTTCTTGTATGAAAATTATCTTAATAAACTCTTTTTTGTTTGAATTGGAAGATTGTGTGGGAGGAGGGGTGTGAGCTTCATGTGTGTAGGTGGGGGAAAGAGGAAGGAGTCATGTTAAGTAGCAAAATTGGCCAAAATCAGTTGTTGGATTCCTTTTGTTTAATAGCTTAGGGACATCTTCCTGTTGTTGTTTTGTCAAAAATATTTCAAAGATTTTCTAAGCTTAGGGGTTTTCACAGCTAAGCTTTCTTTAGAAATGTGAAGTAAAAGAAATGAAAGAAGTCAGTTCAAGTTAAAATGTCAAATGCTTCAAATAATTTAACTTAAAACCCAGTGAGATGATCTTCGTAAACCTTTGTCCAAAGAATCTTTTTGTGAAGGGACCCTCCCTCTGTTCCACATTCAGATATCTATTAAATATCTCCCTGGATTAGTTCTGAGACAGAAAATTTGGTTGTTTCCTGGAAGCAATTAGAGATGCTTAAAATTCAAATTTATGATCCATAGGAGGAACTTAAGTTTCAACTAGTTTTCTTAGTTTCAAAGACTTTCTCCTCACTCACACTCTCACCCCCTACCCCATATGTATTAAAAGAAAAAACTAGCTCATTTCTCAACTTACAAAGTTTTTGAGAAACATGAGAATGTGAAAGTTTCTTTCAGTGGGAAGCGCATAACATTTATGAAGTATTTCTTTTGGGATTACATCACAGTTTTATTTAATTTTTAGGACAAAAGTTAAATTCAATATTTGTATATAAGCCAAGGGAAAATGTACCATAAACATAGGAATTTTGGGGTGAGTCAGAGTTCCAAGAATCCTAGATTTACTTAGGCCATTTATATGGAGACAGGCTAATCATTAGTCATCTAGCCTCGCTTATTACATCGCAATTAATTGTATCTAGAAATTAGCTTTTGCCCAAATGGTTAGATAGGTTAGAGTATGGTTTGCAACCAGCATTAAAGATTACTGTCAGAATTATTGCCCTATTTTTGGATACTTTCTAACTGTATAACAAATATGTCCTATAAATTATTCTTTAACTAACTTGCAGTGAAATGAAGTGAGTTATTGGAGATTTTCTGACCCTTATAGCCACAGACTGTCTGCTTCTAAGGTCAACCCACTCACATGGCATTTCTGCTGGGCTTTACTGAGAATGTATTATTTATCTCCAACCCATAAATAACATTTTTTGTTCATCCCACCTTTTGTAGGATGAAGTCATTGCTGTTTCTGAAAAGGTGATTGTGAAACTTGAAGACCTGGTTAAGTGGGTACATTCTGATTTCTCCAAGTGGAGATGTGGCCTTCGAGCTGGGCCAGTGAAAACTGAAGCTTTGGGAAGAAACGGACAGAAGGAAGCTCTGCTGAAGTACAGGCAGTCAACTCTCAACAGTGGACTCAACTTCAAAGATGTTCTCAAGGAAAAGGCTGACCTTGGTAAATATAATTTGTGCTTCTATATCCAATGTGTGGGCGTATGTAGTAACCCACTTCTGTTGCAGATTTTTCTGGAAACCCTGTCATTCATATATTTATATGAAATTATGTAAGGATTATATATTATATAAGGTATAATTATTTATAAGAAATTATATATTTGTATTATATATTTATATATAATTGTCCTCCTCTCAAAGGTGCCTAAGAATATGGATGAAGAGATGCCTGGGTGGGAAAAAAATAGATATTACCTGTTGGATTCACAGGGCCTTCAGTGTGATCCAACCCAGCAGAATCCTGTGCTGGGTGATCTGACATAGGCCTTAAACAACTTTCAGTGTGTTGTCAAGATATAAGACTTAATTAGGGCAACTAAAGTTGAATTAACAAAGAGTTTAAATATTTGCTCTAAGTAGACAGCACGACATCTGTTAACACCAAGCCAGAATTTCACGTTTTACATTGGGTAGAAAGCAAGGCAAGGAAGAGGGATGAGTCACTTAATGTGAAGCAAGAGAAGCTGGCAGCAGGGGAACTACAGGTTGGCAGCTATGGCATAGATTTCTAGGGCTTTTAGCATTCAGTGGTCATCATTGACTATATGGTTTTTTCCTTTCCTTCCTCCCCTCTCCCACTGTAAATTGAAAGAACTTGGGTTGTAGTATTACCCATTCTTGGGCTTTGGCTATTCTGATTAGTGTTTGAATACTAACTCTGACACTTAACTGTGAGGCATTAGGCAGATCATTTAACCTTTAAACCTCAGTTTCCACTTGTGAAAAATAGGGTCATGATAAAATAGCATCTAGCCTCATGATAGTAGCCAGGAGGGGCTCCGAAACTAATTCTGTTGCTTTAACATTTCTCCAGTGATTTTTGTGTCCTTTCCTTGTTCTTCTCCTTTTGTTTCTATCCCCCTGTGGCCTTGCCTGACTTACTCTTCTAGCATTGCTCAAGACCAAAGTTGTTGACCTCTGATTTAGACAAGTTATTTCCTCTTTAGGCAAAGAGGAACTTCACTTTTAACTTATTAAGGCATCTTTTTCTTTCATTCTAACACAATGCTGATTTTCATAGCCCTATTTTATGCCTTAATGTGACAACTTCCTGTTTTTTTAAACCTAGAACATAACTATTACAAAGAAACCTAGACGATTTATTTTAATTGGCATAAAGAGACTGAATAACACCAGTGACTGACTGTGTCTTTCATGTGATTCTGGTTTGTGATGAGCTGTACTGTGTTTTGGGAATAGCATTAATATTTTCTTGCAATTTAACAGTCAACAGTTTCCTGGCTTCTTTTGGTAGATGTCAGACAGTAATATTTTGGACATGCCAGCCTGATTGTCATATGCACAATTAGAGAAAATTATTAAACTAGTGGTTTTCCTTCTAAAGCCAAGGAATTTTTTAATAGTCTCCTTATATATACTGCTGCACACCCCAATTTTGTGAACACACAATGACTACATTTATGACGTGTGAAAATACTGAATAATACATTGCATTGGTTGTATGGCTTTCCTAATGTATGTGCTCAGTTGTGTTACCGTTGTCTTATGTTTTCCTTAACAATTAAACCCTTTCTTTGTTTGATTTTTTTTTGAGTTATGGAATATACTGTTACTAATAAAAAATTAAACAGGAAATCCACAGGGGACAAAAGGATGTGTGGATGGTTAAGCTTGATGTCACACATATAAACAAGAGTATTTATAGCTGTGTTGTTTTGTATTTCAAATGGGTAGTTTATTAATGAGGACAAAAAGAAATCCAATTTCTTAATTTCATCAAAAGACTAAGAGATTTTGATCTTCTTGGATGCTAAAAGATATCTATAACTTACCTTTTTGCAATTGATTCCAGAAAACAAATGCGCTTATAATGAATATTTGAAGTATGCAGAAGTGGCTTGCCTAGAAAAATCTTGATTAGTGATTTTTAAGTCTAGTTTCTCATTAGATTTACTAGGGGAATTTACAAAACAATACTGATTACCAAAAGTCCAGCTTCCCCAGAGTCTTCTCTGTGGGACCAAGGCAAGGGCAAAGAATATCTACTGATAAAAACTTCTTGGGTGATTGGGACTTTTTTCTATTTTTGGTTTTATTTGGAAGACATCTTTACCATTAGTGCTGAGGAAGGAAAAATAATCAACAGGAGACTTGACTAGGAGGCTCTTCTTGGGCAAGAAACACACTATGTACCTTTTTCTCTTTTTTTAAATGTAAAATACCCCTTTAAGGATAGAATTGAGAGCCTCGAAATTCTACTCAGTTGGTATGAAGTGTGGGGAATTTGAGACAAATAGCTTTTGTAATTGGAATGCTCACCATGTTGTAATAATGTGGAAAGAGAAACAAAAACTTTCCTTAATGTAATGAGTTTCTATTATCTGTTTGATCTAAGGTTGGAAAATCCACATTGTCAGGATTTACATTGGGAGACAGGGGTGTCATTTGCTGTGCATGGATCCTGTCCCAGCAACTTTCTGTTCAGCCTCTTCCTTTCTCTGTGTATAACATCAAGATATTTGTTGTCTGTACTTTTCTTTCTACACAGTGGTTTTCTTATCTCTCTTTCTCTTGGTCACACTGAAACCACCTCCAATACCACATTGTTAATGGAAGTTCACACACTTATTAGGTTTTTCCTTCTGTAGAACCCTTCCAACTCTTCATTGTTCTTACCAAAGAAAGATGAACTGTGAGATTACTTAAGACCCTCCTCTTCCCCCCTCTCCCCCCGCCATGGAAGTAAGCAAAGAATGGAAAGATCTCACCTTTCTATAAAGTAAAACTTCAACATGCTATTTTTTTAAACTGACTTATTTCACTCTGCTTGAAAAAACTCACTAATAATGCAAGAATTAGATTGACTCTTAGAGATTGGATTTTAAAATATAAAAGCCAAAAGCTAATTAAAGAACTCTTCTGGCTGTGTTTGGGCAGAATAAATTCCCTTTAATCCCAGTTTGTGTCACCTCCTGTCTCTAAATAATATAAATAAATAAATAAATAATTTTTCAAAAAGAAACCAAGAATGTTCTCACAAAAGTGTGTCTGCCAATAAATTTGTACTCCACAAAGAAGAACTCTGCCCCAAATGGCAACTTCCAATAACTACTCTGATTCAAATCACAACTCTTTCCTCTCTGTGCAGTAGCACATTTGGATAATATTTGAGGATATCCTGTTTGTTTTTTAACAATATCTAGAGTTTTCATTTAATACTCTAAATGACTGCTGACTAAAACTGCAGGTTGGAATAGTGGAAAACTAATAATCTTAAAAACGCTTCTGAGATGTGACGAAGTACGTTCATTGTCTCCCTCCCTCTCTGCTCTTATTAAGAAAGTTCCATATGAAACCATGCAAATTGTGACTTCTTTGGGTGAGATGTTTTACCTTCCTTCAGACTGTTTCATAATGAAGTTTATTTTAAAGATGAAGAAAAATAACCGTGTTAAAATAGAAGGGTTAAGGACTGTATTATTCATAAGCATAATGAACACAAGAACCTGTTTTTCCAGAAGAATCGGGTTGATTAAATCATTCACTACACAAGCCTCTAGTTATTTATTTTTGTCTTTAGAATCACAGTACTTAGCTTTTGTAATAAAGTGAACTTGATACCCATATTTGATATGGCAGTTGGAAGTAGTCAAATGAAGAATTATTTCATTTTACAAAATTTTTAGCAACTAAGGAATATAATCATTATCAGTTAAACATGGCAAACTTGCATTTTTTTATTCCTTGGGCTATACTTTGAAAAAAATCAAATTATTTTCTATAACACTGCTTCTTACAGAGTTCCTTTAAGTGAAGTATGAAAGCTGCAGTGTAAGCTTTATTGGCCTATAAATATGTCATTATGTTCGGACCACATTTATATGCTTTGGATTGTTGTTTAAGCCAAGAAAATGTGTCTCTACAGGTTGGCTTTTTATTGAAACCCTTTGAGGCATACAACAAAATGCATTTTAGGCCAAGGTTATTAAAACAGCATTTTCATTTTTTTGCAGCATACTCATTGTCAATTATGCTGCCACAAACTGTCTGTGGATGGGCAGTTATGAATGGTTTCATCTTCAATGTGTCTTTAGAAAAAGAAATAAAAAGAGAGGAGTCTACACTGAAATCAAGAAGAGAGACTCAAGAGTTCCAGGGGAGGGAGGGATCTGCTTGAATTTAATAATAAACTTTCCCTAGCCCAATTCCTGTTTCTAAATCCTATCAAACAGAAAAAGTGCTTTCCTCTCTCCCTTCTGTTGCTGGGACTTTCCCTGTGCTTTTGGGAATAGACAACACAGTGGTGTTGAAAGAGCAGTGGAGGGATGTCAAGAGAATCTTTGGCCCTACCCATAGATCTGTCGCTCCCTGGATAAAGTCACTGTATATTTACACTTTCAGGTTCTTTAGTGCATGAAGTGGGCAATAATATGTACCTTGCCTTATGTCACTGGATTTTGAGGACATTAACTGAGAGTGAGTAGTTAATATTTGTGGGAGCATTTTTGATATTGAAGTCTAAGGTGGTATTTTCATTATATTATTATTATTAAAAGTATCGCAATAGAAGACAATTATTAAAGTCCTTCAAGTTCCTGTTATCTATCTAATGTATTATATGTAACTAATATATTATTTACATATTTTCAAGTAATGTATGATATATAACATTCTGTAGTATATAATTGATTATTTTATATATTTATATACATATTTATATTATATATTATATAACTTTTCTCCTAAAAACTCTATCAAAATAAGCTGATTCATATGTGGTCAGTTGTGTAAGTGACTTCTCAAGTACTCTTCATTAAAAATTGACTGTAGTCTTTGCTTAGAAATTCTTGAGGCTGTGTATCTCAAATGGTTGTTTGAGGTCACTTCTGAGTTAGACATGTCAAGCAGCTTTTTGGGGTGTGGCCAAGGAAAGATTCTCACCCTTCCTTGAACAAAACAGTATAAATGTTTCTAATAAGT